CAAGTTGGTCACAAACGTGGTAATACGCGCAACAATGTGTTTCAACTTGCAATGCAACAATGTTGCGAGACAAGTTGAAGAAAAATGTTGCCGGTATTACCGGACCTTTAAGGCCGTAATTATACAACGACGACAACGACGTCGAGAACGACGCCTAGTCAAAATTGTATTTATATTTTACTGGCGAAATTCGCGATTGTCTAGATCTGTTCAGTGCGCCAATGGCTCAAAAAACGTGCTCAGGCTAAATATGCAATGACAGCGTTGAATTCCAAATGGAAATACGAAATTAGCCATCGTCGTCCACGTTCAGTAGACGACGCAGAACTTGTTTATTTCACGTTCTTGTTTTGCAGACGACGGCAAAGAAATTTACGAAGATCTATAACGCACGTGCACAATCATTGTTCTGCTCATTAAGCTTTTTGTCTGGTGACGTTCCCGTTGCCGTCGTCGACTTGGTTTGCTTAAACTCCTTAATAATAATAATAATCCGTCACCACTGTCAATTTTATGCGCGGATTTATTCAGTTGGATCTGATTATATAGGGAAAATTAAAGCAGGAATGCCAGTAACCGATAAGGGTTTAACTACACTCACAAATATTCACACACAAAAACAGCCTTAGTCGGTGACTTTTGACACTTTTGTGTCCTGGAAGGTATGTTTACACTCGAAGCAACAGCAAAAACAAAACCTTAACATATGAATTTATTACTACGTTACACTAGGTAAGGCTTTTTCTGTTGGCTTAATTCAGCAAGCAATGATAACCATATATATGTACATGTAATTACCGTGGAAGGCGAATAAACCGTTTGGGACAAGTATGGGACAAATTGTCAGGAAAAAAGTTCGATCGATTGAACAAGAAAATGTCAGAGAGATTTAACAAATTGTGTCTTCAGTTTGAAGATGTCAAAACAGGTGCAAGTCGAGAAAAGAGAGAAATCTAGTAACGTCTCCTTATCTGTCCTCCATGATTCCAAATACCAGGCCATGTCTCATTTATACGTACCTCTTTTAATTGAGAGAAAAAGCGTTCCATTGTTCTGAAAATTAGTCAAGGCAAATATATTTAAATCTATGAATATGTGAAATATCTATCAATAGACATTAATACACTCTGTTTTCTTTAACCAATAAATTCCATAACAAAGGGTGCAAAATTAATCGGTGCGTGACAAATATATGCGTTTTTCGACTCGACACTTCACACATGTTACCATGTATCAACTATAAAAGAAAAGGATAAATGATTAAAAGAAATGCACTATGATCATGACTGGCTGAGGAATGATTTTCATTCATTTTCTGGGATAAGTTTTGAAGTTTATTATTTGCGAATCATATCTTCAACGACGTATGAAAGTAACGAAAATAAGACCTATACCAACGAATGTATAGAAAACTTTAATTTTTGACTTCTTTTCAAAATACGCGACTTTAGGCTGTCCAACACAACTCCATTTTAAATTTAATCTGCAAATTCCAGTTTTGCCTAGACTGTTTCGTAATCCAATTTTTACGGATGAAAAAGACGATGACGATCGTCATCTCTTGACGGACGTTATCTGGCATCGGAATCACATCAACTATTTAAAAATTATTAACATTATAATTATATAACTAAGCCCGACGCGTTCCGCCACCTTACAAAGCTGCAGAAGAGTCTGAAGACCTCTTCAAAACAGCAATCAGATCACCTAACGGCATGCTTAAATGAGGTTTTGCAGCTCAGGCGAACAAGCGAGGAATCGCGTGACCTTGCCGCGAGTCGTGCCGAGGCATAGCCACCCACTTCAGTCCCGAGCGCAAATTATCAACCCGTGTTGAAATTGCGTGAATATCTGTCGCATTGTACGTTAAAATGCGGAGATTAATTTAATAGTAATAAGATTTATTATAGCAACATCAGTTGTACNTATAAAAGAAGTGGATAAATGATTAAAAGAAACGCACTATGATCATGACTGGCTGAGGAATGATTTTCTTTCATTTTCTGGGATAAGTTTTGAAGTTTATTATTCGTGAATCATATCTTCAACGACGTATGAAAGTAACGAAAATAAGACCTATGCCAACGAATGTATAGAAAACTTTAATTTTTGACTTCTTTTCAAAATACGCGACTTTAGGCTGTCCAACACAACACCATCTGTTAAATTTAATCTGCAAATTCCAGTTTTGCCTAGACTGTTTCGTAATCCAACTTTTACGGATGAAAGAGACGATGATGATCGCCATCTCTTGACGGACGTTATCTGGCATCGGAATCACATCAACTATTTAAAAATTATTAACACTATAATTATACAATTAAGCCCGACGCGTTCCGCCACCTTACAAAGCTGTAGAAGAGTCTGAAGACCTCTTCAAAACAGCAATCAGATCACCTAACGGCATGCTTAACTGAGGTTTTGCAGCTCAGGCGAACAAGCGAGGAATCGCGTGACCTTGCCGCGAGTCGCGCCGAGGCACAGCCACCCACTTCAGTCCCGAACGCAAATTATCAACCCGTGTTGAAATTGCGTGAATATCTGCCGCATTGTACGTTAAAATGCGGAGATTAATTTAATAGTAATAAGATTTATTATAGCAACATCAGTTGTACATTCTCGAACGATCTACTTATTATCTTAGTGATCATGACCTGACTACAGTTGTAATTATGCTCAGCTATCAGAACAGTACTTACAAAAGAGAAGTCATGTTGTGTCAAAGCAACTGACTAGGGTCTTAAAGATCCCAGTTCTTAAGTGTCTCCATCCCAGCCCGGACAGGCAGTGTTAAGTCCCTTGTCACCGCTAATCTTCAAGTCTATACTTTCTTTCACCACAGCTGGCCAATCATTCACATTTCATTTCAAATTCCTTGCTCACTGCGCATCAGGAAATATAACTGTTTACACACGACTGCCAGAAATCAATGAACAATGGAAACTCTTGATTCCTAACGTGTATTTTCTAAGTTTAAAGC